TGACAATCCTTTAATAGATAAACTGGAAGCAAGTTTTAATACGTTTCACCCAGCATATTTATATCGCACTTTGATGATTTATTCACTAATATAAGTGTGTTAAATATTAAATGATCTCAAAGAATTTTACCATAGAGTAAGCACACATAGTGAAATCTACCATAAAATAAGATAAATACATTTAGAAACATTATTACATTCATGTTACCGGGCATGAACTCACCAACTCATATTAAAATGAGGTTCATATTTTAACAGTAGGATAGGAAAACTGGTAACTACAATATTCAGTAATTGGTTCTGGTTATTTGTAACTATTGTTTCTATATTGGATGAATCACTGCAATATACTAGTTCAACCTGACTGACCCCTCTCTATGAATTGCCTGATGACCATGTTACCTCTGATGATCACTCTTGCATACTTGATATTTCTACCATAGAACTTTCACATTCTAATTCGTCATTAAGTCTCTATGGAAATGCCCACCTCTATATTTACACCCTCAGGTATATAGCACAATATCAGCTTCCTTTGTTATTGAATCCTGTAATTTAGCATGGTCTCATTGCTTTTACATATATGAAATACAGAAATTATGTTCATACAATAATATAGATCTATAGTTTCCAGTTAATAATGTAAATGTTGTATCTCTATGTTTCAAATGTTATGCAATTAATAATTTAATCATCTGTTAGTTCAAAAATGTGATTCAAATCAATGTAAATAAACTAGTGACAAAAAAAGGCTCATTTTTCAACTTACATTTATTTAACCATTTATTTCAATATATACACTTACAATACATAACAGTAAAATAAACAACAAAATGGCTTATTTTATAATTTATATGTTTTTGAAAATGAGTAAAGAACAACAGAGCTTGTAAGTTACAATACCAATGAGGGATGACAGTGCATTATGTTGTATTGGTTTTCCAGGTTATTGTTTAACAAGAAACTCCTTCTCATATCGATTGCTCAACAAATAAAATCTTTATCCACCACTATCATGGTCTTCGTTTTATCACTTTAACTAAATCGATATGTCTCGATGTAAATGGCATCCCCACTATGATTAATTCCTGTAAACACAATGCATATCTATAAACTTACCCAAAACAATCCCAATAATTATAGCAACTTTCATTGCTCACTAAAATGCAATTGTTTGTAGCTACCCTTCACAATTACGTTCTCTTCTTTGCATAAAGTAGTTTTCATCTTTATTTTGTATTTTCATCAAAGAGTACATTCACTACAAGAGTCTTATGTATACAAACAATTTATATACAATATTCCACGTAAAGGTTGTTCCAGCCTGGAAGTATACAACATGGTCAGGGCCTTTAGAGTTTGCATTTTCATCTATTTTTTTATTACAGTCTGAGGCTCTGGCTGGATATCTCATCATGATTGTAGAAAGTCAATGCTCCCTACTTCTACTTTGACCACCAAATAGACCCCCGACATGACATAATAATGCAATGACATAATAATTTGTTATTATCGTTGCTAAGTTAAACTACCAACTACGATTAGCAAGATGTGGGATTGTGTGTTGTGCCATGCTAATTTACCAAACACATATTAATCAGCACAAAGTACAATAACACATAATAGTTCAATGGATCTATGCTGATATTGGTGATAGGGGTTGAGCTCATCACAACCCAAACTTCCGATTAAAGAGGCATCGCATCCGACATTAACTTTAAGTCCTAAACTGAAGATTACAATTTACTTATGTTCAGAGGCAAAGTGGATACCATTAAGCATCTTAGAAATGAGCTGGTCACAACTAAAAAGAGAAACTAGTCTTTGCACCACACATAAACTGTACACAATTCACCACTTGGGACGAGAAGCAAGCCTGCAATAATACTGTGGAGTAGGACTGAGTTTAAATAATGATTCCAAGTTCTCACGTAAGGTAAAATATAATTTCGGCACGAAATATTTGCCTGATTCCTCGGTAATACATGTTTCAAGACACTAAAATAGTTGAGTAAAAAACATATTTTTTTCAATTTTCAAAAATATTTAGTCCATACTAGGAAAACTCCAATATTTTACCAGAGGTCCCAAGACTACATGTTTCTTGCCATTTAAGGCGATTCCAGCAACACGTTATATTTATAAATATTTCAAACCAACTGGTGCAAATCTCACATGATACAGACATTAATGGGGATTGGAAATATTTTTGGAGATGGACATTTGCATAGAAATGTATAGAGAGTAAGCACAATTTTTAAAAAGTGGCTTAAAATCTCCCCATGTTATTCTCATAGGTAAAACACCAAAAACACCTCTTTGTCCTATTCTATCTATTGGCTTGAGATACAGAAAAAACAGTAAATAAACATTTAGGCACACTACATTGGTTTCAACTTTTGATAAAAAACAATAAAAATCAAATACTATTTTAACATTATTTTAAATGAGTACAAATAAATCAAACAGTTATCATGAAAATGTTATAAGTCTATACTTAATTCCATTATTTTAAAAGTCCATTATAAATGTTCTAAATTTGTGATTTTATCACCAGACGTCCCTATAACTCAAAAGAATTATATTATTTTATATGAGTACAAATAAATCAAACCGTTTTCATTTGTATGCCAATGCATTGTAATATAATATCAGCATTAGTGAATAAAGGTCTGCTTTATTGTTTATTTATATCTCAAAAAGGCTTGATATACAACAAAACGGCTAAAATTCCAGCCTACATACTACATGGCCTTCTACATAATAATACAGCATAAAAAAGTTTAAAAATTTAAAACCATTTACCAGTTTCTTTTGTATGTAAATGTGTTATAATATAATTTCAGCAATAGCAATGGTTTCAAACTCCAGGTGTTGCCAGCACGGCACTGTCGGAGGCATGACGATGTTCAAAGTGATGCGCCTCCTATCACTTACATGTTTGTCTAGCTTCTAATGAAAATATTTATAACATGAAATTTATATATTAAAATTCTACATGAACTACTGTTTAATACAATATAAATATAATTTAATTTGTGCTAGTGTATAATTATTAATTATGGAAAATATAAAAAGGTTACTTTGAGTAAACATGAAAAAGTGAGTAAGCGAGGATTTTTTTTATTTTTCGGTCAGAGAAAAACTGCCAGTGGGAAAAGTATAGATGACTAGATATTCCTCAATTTTTGTTTCAAACATTTTTTCATAAGACTTTTAGTTTGTCATCGCTGGGGATCAGAAGTATGCCTATAGGTCGGGAGTGCGCCCGAGTTCGCGTGCCGAGAGCCGGGTCTTTAAAAAAAGTGGTCAAAAAAAGCTCTTCATTTCCAGACATGTTTTTCAGTATTAATAACATTTTTTTACCAAAAAAGTGCCCCCATATAGCCTCTAAAACGCCAAAAATGGGGTAAAACCAGAATATTATACCTATTTGGGGTGTTTTTTCGCCAAAAAATTTAAAAGTCCTGAGTCCGAAAACGCCGAAAGTGGGGTCATATTCTGGGTTTACCACTACTCGCACTAGTGGAGTGTTTGGAACGAAACAGGGAATGGCGCAAGTGTGGAGAGCCCTTTTCATAAATAATGAACAAAATAATAGTGGTGCACCCTGTTGGTAAATCTTATAAATTTTTAATGCTTTTGCATATCATAGAACCAACTCTTTTAGTTGAAAAAGCTGGCTAAATTCTTTAATTCCCATTAAATATGAATAATCATAAGGTTAACATGGGGATCTGCAGAGCCACTGTGGCGGAGCCCGAAAGGATTGGTAAAGGAAAGGAGGGGTGTAACCAATGTCTTCGTTTAACCTTCTCGTCTTGGTTTTTTATACAAATAATATAATACCGCCAACTTTTTCCTTTGTCTAACATCCATCTCTGCACACCAACAAATGATTCACTGTTCAGTGAGCGAGGAGGGGGGGAGTGCGGATCACGGACACGGACGATTTTTATTGCTAGTGTGGCATGTTCTATCAGTCTCGTTGGTTAGCCTAAAAATTACAAGTGTAGCCCCAGCCTAGGTGCTACTGAACCCGAAATTTGTATCAAAAGAGAAATTTAAGTTAAGAGAATGTCGCTGACGATAGAGTTACACCAGAAAATTACAGTGCGGTGGGGGGTTTTTTTTTAACTAGCCGTTTCAGTTCAGTTCTTAGAATTGAAAATATCCATTTAAAAGCATTGTTTTACTTAACAAGACGAGTAATGGACCAATAAGGTTCAAGGAATGGGAGAAAAGAAGTCAAATTCTACCTTTACGTGATCCTTGCGTTAACTACTATGACAAAACAGTGTTTGATAAGTAAATGATAAAATAAAAAGTTATACAAACGTTTAAGCATACCATATTATTTTTTAATACAAAACTTACCCAGAGATTATGGTCCGTATGCTTTTAAATGTAACAATTAATATTATTCTTTGAGAGGTTGGTTGAAAAAAATATTTCTTTCCAAAAACATTTCTTTCTTTTAGCAAGGTATTTCAATATTTCAATGCAAATACTCATAGCATACATGTGAACATTCTCACGTGTTAAAACAGTTTTGATTCGTATTTTCCCCAACAATAAAATAAAACTTATTTCAACCACTGAGGCATTGTTTTAGAGTCCAGAATAACACCAGTCGAAATTGTTTACCACTCTTTTAATCAAACTCAATCTTCAGATTAAGGTGCTTGAAAAAATACCTTTTAACTGTGGTCTTATTTATCAAGATTCAGTGGGACAATTCCTTATTTTTACTCATTGAATGGCAAAAATAGTCAATAATTCCTTTTTTCTTAATAACACTGTTTTAGAAATGTATGAATGTAAACAAACAAATGTATTTATGATTTCGTAGAACAGCAAACAATATCTTGTTAGGAGTAAAATAACAAAACAATATGCAATGGTGCAAGAGGGTAGGTTGGGTTTACATTTGTTGTGGGAGTGAGGGTGAATGGGGGAGGGAGTGCGGGAAAGTTAACCAAGTCAGTTAGTGTCCGTCGTTTGCTTCGACATGAAGTGCCACCTAGATCTACTTCCCAGTCGGACTATCACGTGATCAAATATGCAGTGCATATATGTGGCTTATGTGCTTTTGTTGTGTAAGTATACTAGATAAGGTACAAATAAATACCTCAAGGTTTGATAGCAATATTAAATTTTTTTTTACATTAACATCCTAAAAAATGCTTTTGTATGTTTAATAATATGGAATTAATAGTATTAAACAAATGCAAAATTTAATAAACAATTGTTTTACTATACGTAATATTAATACTGTACAAATAAAATAACAAGACTACAAGATCGCGCCACTCATCTCCATTCATACTTGGCTTAAAATACCTACCTTTGTATGGTCACCATTTAAATTAAAATTATTTCAGTATTGAGATTAGGAATACTCTAATATTTAATTACAACATAAAAAATTCATCACTTTTTGTTTAACTTTTTTTAAATACTTAACCTAAAATATTAAAATTTTAATATTTTAAAATATTAGTAATATAGTTTACTATTACAAGTAATTTTAAAATAATCAATATATGCTACATCACCATCCTTGCGTGTAATATGATGCTAAACATTAACAGCCGTTGCTAAGTTAAGATGCACTCACGGGTTATTGTTGGCATCGAGTTGATAAACATATAACGCATAAATTTTAACACTTTTATTCATTCCCCAGACAAACCCAAACAAGTACTGCTTGAATTTTTGAGCGAAGCTCTTATACGTCGACTCTTATGTATTTCGTAATACAAAACTCCTCCTAGACGGCTGAATCAATCGTTTTCAAATTTTGCATGGTGATAAAGAAAAGACCATGTCGGTGAGTGCCAACATCTATATGGTGTTAAAAACGTCTCTCAGGAATCCGCCCCACTGGGTCTCAAAGTTTCAATGTAATCCTTATGGAAGCAGTATTTGACACATAAACAAAGACATATGATCAGCTGTTGGCTTTTGAATGCAGTACATAAAGTAATAGCTGATAGCATTATTCCACAGATATTAGAATAGACAATGTATGGATGGTAAATATAATCAAATGACGATACTAGTTTGAGGTCCGTGACGTAGGAAGTGGTGAAGGAAGTAGTAAAGGTGAGCAGTCTGGAGTGTGGAAACTGTTTATGACGATTTGATTTAGGTATCTGAATTCCTAAAATTCTATGGGAAGGGAGGAAAACAGGTCCGTCACGTAGGAAGAGGCGAAGAAAGTAGAAAAGGCAAACTGTCCGGAGTGTGGGAACTGTTTATGACGATGAGATTAAGGTATCTGCAATCCTAAAATGCTATGGGAAGGGAGGAAAACAGGTCCGCGACGTAGGAAGTGGTGGAAGTAGTAAATGCCAGCTGTTCGGGGTATGGGATCTGTTTATGACCATTAGATTAAGGCATTTGCAATCCTATGATGCTATGGGAAGGGAGGAAAACAGGTCCGCGATGTAGGAAGTGGTGAAGGAAGTAGTCAAGACGAGCTGTCCGGAGTGTGGGAACTGTTCATGATGATTACGTTTAGGCATCTGCAATCCTAAAATGCTATGGAAAGGGAGCAAAACAGGTCCGTGACGTAGGAAGTGGCGAAGGAAGTAGTAAAGGCGAGCTCTATGGAGTGTGGGATCTGTTTATGACCAATAGATTAAGGTATTTGCAATCCAATAATGCTAAGGGAAGGGAGGTGAACAGGTTCGTGACGTAGGCAATGGTGAAGTAAGTGGTAAATGCGAGCAGTCCGGAGTGTGAGAACGTTTTATGACGATTATTTTAAGGTATATGCAATCCTAAAATGCTATGAGACGGGAGGGAAACAGGTCCGTGACGTAGAAAGCGGTGAAGGAAGTTGTTAACGTGAGCAGTCCGGAGTGTGGGAACTGTTTATAACGATTAGATTAAGGTATCTGAAATCTTAAAATTTTATGGAAGAGAGGGAAACAGGTCTGCGACGTAAAAAGAGGTGAAGGAAGGAAGTAGTAAGGTGAGCAGTGTGGAGTGTGGGAACTGGAAACCGTTTGTAGCAATTAAATTAATGTATCTGCAATGCTGAAATGCCACGAGAAGGGATGGAAGCATCCCCACGACATAGAAAATGGCGAATGATGTAGTAAATGCTAGCAGTGCGGAGTGTGGGGAATGTTTGTGGCAATTAGATTAACGTATCTAAAATACCATAATGGTATGGAAAGTGATGAAAACAGGTCCACGATGGAGGAAGTGGCTTAGGAAGTAGTAAAGTAGGAGCATAGTGTGAGAACCGTCTGTGGCAGTTGGATTAATGTATCTTCAATCCTAAAATGTTATGAGAAGGGAAGGAAACAGGCCCCACGACGTAGGAGGTGGTGAAGGAAGTAGTATATTAAATCAAAATAAAATAAAATCAAATCAAAATCTGTTTTATTTCATAATGTCTTAAAAAGTAAAGGCTGGCAGTGCAGAGTGGGGGAACCGTTTTGGCAGTTAGATAAATGTATATAATACTTAAATGCTATGAGAAGGGAAGGAAACAGGTCTATGATGTAGGGGATGGTGAAGGAAGTAGTAAAGGTGAGCAGTGTTGAGTGTGGAAATGGATTAATGTACAGTATCTGCAATGCTAAAATGCTATGGAAAGAGACTGTAGACTGCAGGTTACAATGATTACGAAGCACGAATCGATACATTTTAGATACATAACTGAGTTGACAATAGCTGATTTTTACTCCATATAGGCTAAAAACGATTTTTACTCCCTAAAGAGTAAAAATGCTCCTTTAGACCCGCAACGCATGCATTAAAAACGACTGTTTTTAAAGCAGTTTGACAAAAACAATATACTATGAACTCTTGATGACTCCGCTCAATTTTGTGGATGCCTCTGCGAACGCCACCTAGTAAGTTTCGTGTCTGGTCCTGTTTAAACAACTGTTCCTCAGAAAAAAATGCCAAACAAGCTCCTGAGTGTTGCAAACAAAAGTATTTAAAATTAGAACTTAATGGAAATCACAACTACTTAATAGTACTACAAAAATAGTATTGGCAAAGACATTGAGAAATGATCAATTACAACAAAGAAATGTATTGACAAGTTACGCCTTAACCTGTTTTATTATGAGACTTAAAGACAAAACAGGAGTTTTTCTAATAAGAAATATTTTCTTTGTAATATACAGTATGTTACAATAGTTCTTCTTTTTGTTTAGTAGAATACAATTTTACATTACTAAAGTTTGAAATTCTCCTATGGAATTTTTTTCCAATTTAAAGAAGAAAATTCTATTAATAATGTAAGATAGCCTCATAAGCCCTTCATGATATTATATTATAATACCAAACGAAATATTGGTTAATTTTAATAGCCTCGAACGTCCGAAATCGCATGTTTAACTTTCAAACAATGTAATTTGTCAACTAGAGCCTAACATTATAAGTTTTACACAAAATTTAATTTTTATTTCTAAACAGTAAAACGATGTCAATGGTAAAATGTTTATAAGAATATTGCAATATATCTACACTACTAATATTTTATTGTTACTTTTTAACTTCTTGATCAACAATTGCCAATGTGTATTTTGACAATGTGTTACTTTTTGCATAAATTGGATTTCTTTAACTTTTTGTCTTTCAAGTTTTTTTAATTTGTAACTATCAAAATCAGCCGCCGTATAATAGACCCAATCACATTGATGTGAGTTTTGGAGGACATCCAAAACAATGAAATACACGGTTCGTCAAACAACTCTACAAAAAGCTTTTAACGAACCTTGTTACCGTAACTGTGTCCGAAAACGAGTGGATTAATTTTAATTCGTTAATAGTTATTACAGTCGTTATTCTTCTGATGAAACGGACAATGGCCCATAATATAAATTAAAAACATAAAATACACATTCTCGGAGGAAGGAACAGAATATAGAGTTCAAATATTTAATGCTTAACGGAAATCTAATTATTCTACTCTATTAGGAAGTTATAAAAAGACCAAAGATTATCTGGTTTAAAATAATTAAAAAATTACATCATATATTTATTTAACACAGTTTCTCATATTGGGACCTATCGTACTCTTTCAAACAATGTAGCCTTTGCAAATTTTGTTACTTTCTAGTAGTAAAATGTGTAGTTTTGTTTTTCCTACTAAGATTTTTATTGTATGGCTCATATCTTGTTCAATTTTGTCTTTAAATTAACTGAAATAGTAATTTATTTGAATTTTATGAATAACGGTAGAAAAATGTATATCTATCTATCTATATATTAATACTTATTTAATACGCAAGCAGGATTTTTGTGGCAATTACTCCTCCGAAACTACTGAACCGATTGACATGTTTTTTGTGTCATTGGAAAGAGCGTAACGTGAAGTTGTGCAGGAAACTTTCTTTTTAGGTAAATAATTAGAGAGTGAGTCCCTGGGGCCCTTTAAAGTTTTGTATTTCTCCGTAAGATTAACATGGGAAACAAACATTGTTTTGAAACTCCAGCTTTTGTCAGAAATTAAATATTACATTTGCTTTGACATTTAAATGTGAACAACCAGAACTGTCAAATGCCTGAAGAAGAACACATGTTGTTAATTGTAAACAGTCAATGTGTAAATTATATATGTTGTATTAAAAATGTGTATAGTTTTGGATGTTGGTTTGTGTTTAATGATATAAGTTATTAATCATTGAATTTTTATTTTAAGGATTTGGCATATGAGTATATCTATGATAAATAACTCCATTTCAGAGTTCTGCCAATTTTTGCCTAACTCTGTTCTGTAGAGTTTAAAGTAGCCTACACCCTCACCTACAAATTGGCTAAATAACTTAGGTAGGTCTACGGTACATTATAAAAGCTGACAGCCTTTTTACTTTGACTTAAATTGTAAGCTTACCTTTTCCCGTCCATGGACAGTTTGATAGTTAAACATTAACCCTTTAAACTGGAATAGGACTGTTATGTAAATTGTGAGTATTTTTATCAGTTAATAATCTTATAGTTGACTCTCTTAAAATCATTGGAAATTATGACTGTTATTAGTTTTTAAACAAGTCATTTATTTATTTGTAACTCCTCAACTCATGTACTTATTTGAAATTGCTCGATTTCGAGCAACATGTACACTAGTTTATTACAATACGGTAATTACAATATATAATCAGAAAAACTTCCACTTATACAATGTTTCTTTATTTCAGAATTGATTTTGAGCAGTATGGATTCTAATTATATCGAGAATCTTTGTGGCTATCTAAGTTCCCACATAGGATACAAATATTGTTTCTTCTTTTATTGAGCCGAGCGAGCGAAGCGAGCGAAGCTCTTATACGTCGACTCTTATGTATTTCGTAATACGCAAACTCCTCCTGGACGGCTGAATCAATCGTTTTCAAATTTTGCATGGTGATAAAGACCATGTCGGTGAGTGCCAACATCTATATGGTGTTAAAAAAGTCTCTCAGGAATCCGCCCCACTGGGTCTCAAAGTTTCAATGTAATCCTTATGGAAGCAGTATTTGACACATAAACAAAGACATATGATCAGCTGTTGGCTTTTGAATGCAGTAGATAAAGTAATAGCTGATAGCATTATTCCACAGATATTAGAACAGACAATGTATGGATAGTAAATATAATCAAATGACGATACTAGTTTGAGGTCCGTGACGTAGGAAGTGGTGAAGGAAGTAGTAAAGGTGAGCAGTCTGGAGTGTGGAAACTGTTTATGACGATTAGATTTAGGTATCTGCATTCCTAAAATTCTATGGGAAGGGAGGAAAACAGGTCCGTGACGTAGGAAGTGGTGAAGGAAGTAGTAAAGGCAAGCAGTCCGGACTGTGGGAACTGTTTGTGACGATGAGATTAAGGTATCTGCAATCCTAAAATGCTATGGGAAGGGAGGAAAACAGGTCCGCGACGTAGGAAGTGGTGGAAGTAGTAAATGCCAGCTTTTCGGGGTATGGGATCTGTTTATGACCATTAGATTAAGGCATTTGCAATCCTATGATGCTATGGGAAGGGAGGAAAACAGGTCCGTGACGTAGGAAGTGGTGAAGGAAGTAGTAAAGGCAAGCAGTCCGGACTGTGGGAACTGTTTGTAACGATTAGATTAAGGTATTACAAACCTAAAATGCTATGGGAAGGGAGGAAAACAGGTCCGCGACGTAGGAAGTGGTCAAGGAAGTAGTAAAGGTGAGCAGTCTGGACTGTGGAACTGTTTGAGGCGTTAAGATTAAGGTATTTGCAATCCAATAATGCTAAGGGAAGGGAGGTAAACAGGTCCTTGACGTAGGAAGTGGTAAAGGAAGTAGTAAAGGCGAGCGGTCCGGATTGTAGTAACTTTTTATGACGATTAAATTAAGGAAACTGCAATCCTAAAATGCTATGGGAAGGGAGGGAAACAGGTCTGCGACATAAGGAGAGGTGAAGGAAGTAGTAAGGTGAACAGTGTGGAGTATGGGAACTGGAAACCGTTTGTAGCAGTTAGATTAATGTATCTGCAATGCTGAAATGCTATGAGAAGGGATGGAAGCATGCCTACGGCATAGAATATGGTGAAAGAAGTAGTAAAGGCTAGCAGTGCTGAGTGTGGGGAATGTTTGTGGCAATTAGATAAACGTATCTAAAATACTAAAATGCTATGGAAAGTGATGAAAACAGGTCCACGATGTAAGAAGTGGCTTAGGAAGTAGTAAAGTATGAGCGTTGCGTGAGAACCGTATGAGGCAGTTAGATTAATGTATCTTCAATCCTAAAATACTACAAGAAGGGAAGGAAATATGCCCCACGACGTAGGAAGTGGTGAAGAAAGTAGTAAAGGTTGGCAGTGCAGAGTGGGGGAACCGTTTGGGCAGTTAGATAAATGTATCCAATACTTAAGTGCTATGAGAAGGGAAGGAAACAGGTCTATGACGTAGGAAATGGTGAAGGAAGTAGTAAAGGTGAGCAGTGTTGAGTGTAGGAATGGATTAATGTATCTGCAATGCTAAAATGCTATGGGAAGAGACTGTAGACTGTAGGTTAAAATGATTACGAAGCATGAATCGATACATATTTGCGATACATGCAATCTTTGACAATAGAAATTTACAACTGAGTTGACTGCAGCTGATTTTTACTCGATAGAGGCTAAAAACTATTTTTACTCAATAAAGAGTAAAAATGCTACTTTAGACCCGCAACGCATGCATTAAAAACGACTGTATTTACTGGAGTATGACAAAAACAATATACTATGAACTCTTGATGACTCCGCTCAATTTTGTGGATGCTTCTGCGAACGCCACCTAGTAGTGCCATTACAGTGAATATAATGTCTTATTGAAGGGGGCTTTAATCACCTTTAACTTGGGCCTTTTGATATATTGACAAAAAAATAAGTCCCTGTAAAATACTTTAGCAACCAATTTATTTTTACTGTTAACTCATCCAAAGTATATTTACTTGTAAAAATTCTTTACTGTATAAGAAAAGTATACTTTTGTGCATAATAAATTCTTTTTTGCGTCATGTTTTGAAAGAAAGTTGTTAAATTGGAGCTAAACAGTACATCTTAACTTTTATAAAAATATATTAAAATTTTCAAACCTGTAGAGGGGCACACTTTTTCCTTTTCCTATTGAAGTAATTGCTATTTACCTACCTGTCAACCAACGACGTTTCCAAACACTTACAATTCAGATAGAATTCACCTTTTCATTCCCTCGGGGCATAGAAAATACTGCAAACACATGAAAGAAATTTGTCTCTAGATTTGGCATAAAATACATTTTTAAGATATATATTATACTATTAAACGCTAACTTACATTGACCGAAACCTAAACAATGCGCCTGTAAACACTTAATCTGTATTTTATTTAGGTATAGGTTTTTTTTTAAATCCAAGTATGTATGAATTATAAGGTTAGGCTATTTTCTTTGGGCTTGTACCTATTGAACTATCCAAACTAGAGAAAAATGAACGTTAAATGGTTATTTACCCAAACAGTGACACATCACATAAACAAAGAATCTATATATTAATATGCAATCATGTTTCTTTCAAACCTTTTTTCTCAGCTTGTGTGCATCGCAGGGAAAATCTACGCACGTTAAGATATTTGTCTGTAGATGTGCAGAATACCTTTGTAAATTAAAATAAGCACAAAAATTAATTTAAAGTTAATAAAAAATAACACTAACATGGACCATGTTTTCATGTTGGTTTGGGTTGCCATGCTGGTGACGAAATAGCAACGAAATATAAACAGAAAATGAAAACAAATTAAAGAAATTCCAATCATATGTTTTCTTTCCAGCAAAGGGTGAAAATAGAGAAGTCTGTACGTTACATAATTATTTTTTGTCGAGTTTTCGACTACTGGACGACCTCTAGTGTACTTAAATCGTAACTGTAACCTATTTTGGGAACATAAACACAGCTGATTGAGAACTCTAGTGTTGTAAAAAACACATCTTCAAAATACAGGTCATGGGCAAATCCTTTTCGTGATGAAGCATCTTCCTTTTATTCAGGGGGATCACAGATGAAGTAATGTATAGCTCTACAAGGTCAGGTTACCAATGTAAATGTTTAATATGCCAACCATGTACGTTACATTTCAGTGTTATTCACAAGTCTGAAGGGAGATGCAGGCTCCAACATCACCACAGACACTATCGAGTGCAAGGACCGCTCTTATCTAGACAACTGTCTGAAGAAGCTGCCTCCGATTCTGGAAAAGTCTGAGATGAAGGGAATCCCCAGCTCCAAGAAAGATCTTGATACTTCCTGCAGGTGCGTCATAAGCCTGTAGTTAAATATAGGCCTCTGGCTTAAAAAGATCTTTAAAAAAGCTTATACATCTGGTTATTGTGATCCTTGTTAGATTCTACTGGTTAGTGGTAACGTATTTACCCTGCACTTTACACACATAACAAAATATGATGAACATACTGTAAAATATATTCATCTTAGCAATTTCTTGCCAAAATTAAAAATGCCACGGTAATTATACGCCATGTTTAAAATATCCCCGCCCCAGCAAACCTGCAGACTAAGCGAATTTCCATTTACCGGGCTTGATTTCTAAGTATTCCCTAAAAATTTTCAGATTTATTTCCTATTTAAATAACATTATTTTAATGACTACTTAGGTTTGCTTAAGTATTGATGTGTTTTTTAATGAAATGTTGATAGCTTAGAACGAAACAAACAAAATTGCTAAATTTGATTAAAATATATCCGTAAACAAGCAAACTACAACAGTTTTTTTTATTCTCCATAAGAAGACATGAGTTTTTTAGTTTACAATGTTTTTAAATTATCTCCGTAGCCTAACCGTTAGGCATGAAACAACACTTCAATAAACAAATTTATTTAAAGCTCTACAAAATGGTTTGGAAAGAAATTGTGAAATTTTGTGTTTAAGTGTCGAAAATGGGAAAACCCAATTTTTACCCCATAAAAACCTCCATAAACCCCCGTTCCCATAGTCCAATCATGCTGGTTCGCGAACTCGTTCGAATTAACGTAAGTTCACACACATATAAGTATAGGGAAAATTACAATAATAGGGCTACTATATATAAATGAAAATTAAACATTAATAAACTTAGTACCCAAGTAAAAATTATTTATTAATTGACGCAATAGAAACTATATTTTAATAAATAATTTTTACTTGGGTACTAAGTTTATTAATGTTTAATCTTCATATATATATGAATTTGAAAGGAGGGTGTTTTTGGCCTCTGGGGACCTAAAAATGAAAAAAGTAAATCGGTCCTGGGTCTAGGTCTTACCATGTGACCTACCGTACGGTAATAACTTATTCCCTATATGGGAAATTTGCTAAAAAGGCTAACAAACTATTTCGTTTTTAGCAATACATCAAATTAACATTTACTAACACATACAAATTTAACAATTCGACTCTTTTCTAGACATCTAGCACAATCACATTGGTTTAACAAAACCTAATATATTGAAATACAATTCTGCTCCATATTTGATTAAATACTCTCCTTTCAAGTTCAAAAGCAAAGCATTCCAGATGAAAGTTCACACCAGTCGTGTTCACTGTTCACATTGCACTTATATTGCGTTCGGTTGTTTGATTTTTATGTTATTAGTTATGTAGTTAGTTTTGGTTAAGACTGGTTTGGTTAAGTTTAGTTAAAAAAATTATCCAAGATGTTACGTTCTAAATATAATACACACGAGATTAAATAACTTGTTACCATGCTTTTTACCAAGCATATGGTTGGAAAGCTTATAAAATCACGCAGTTTTCAACATATTTTGTTACCATGTTGTCTACAGGGTGTTACATAGACCAATGTTTGTTAATGTTTATCATAAACCTTAGTTTTAATCTTTGGAACCACTTACAATGAATCTTTTACTATCGATCCTCCATCATTTTTATTATTCTTATTCAAAATTTAAAGTAGAACATGAAAATGACATCATCTACGCACATCCATGTACGGGAAATTGCTGTATTGTGTTTAAAAAAAAGGTTATTTTTTAAAAACTTAAAATAATTCTTTGGGAAGCTAATTTTTATTCTTGAAACCTCTTGTATGCATCATCGCACTTCATTTAATTTTTATTTGCATTAAAAAAAGTTTGTAACACTGATAACCACGCTGATAACACTGTAACTGTATAAAATGTTCTACTGGATCTATAAGTAATAAATTGACGCAATAAAAACTATATTTTTGTTGGCTTATTACACACCAAAACACCAATATGACAGTTTAGTTTTATATAAACGCTTTAATCAGTATAGACTTCCTATTATGGGTCCTAAATATGTCGGCATTAGTCACTCCCTTGGCTACTACAAAGAATTTTAATACTTAGTCACTAACAAGACTACAAGATCGCGCCACTCTACCTACACTCATCTCCATCCATACTTAGCTTAAAATACCTACTTTGTATGGTTACCTTTTAGATGAAAAGTATTGAAAAAAGCATTAAAAGTATGTGAATGAAAATATAGCTATTAAATACTAAATTTAAGTCTGGATGGGGCAGTTAAAAAAAACAAAAGCAAATTGTATGTTGGTTAACCAAATCAGTAATTGGAATTGCTTATTAGACAATTGAGTTTGTTACAGCGCTTTCAAGATCGGGATGGGGTGTATGGACAACTTCGCCAGAAGGTGTTTGTCAAGCCAAGACAGACAGACTCTAGAGGCTCACGTTGTTGGAGCAAAACACACTTTCAAATTCCTCTGCGATGACCCTGTCTTCCAAGCAGGTAACATGGAATTTATTTTGGTTACAATATAAAAGGTAGTTAGTTAGGGTGGGCATTAATTGCGCCAACTGACCTGAGTAAGGTAGACGGGTATTCCTGAATTACTCCAACTACTCCAGGGAGCCATCCGACACTAGCTCCGCCAAGTGGCGGCCCTCTTTCACTGTATAATTGAGTAGGTTAGGTTAGGATAAGTTAGGTTAGGTTAGGTAAGGATAGGTTAGGATGACACGTAAACAAGGTCATTCCTTATGCTGACAACTCACGCCTACCTGTTTTGGGCTTGGCGCATACAAGGAACATTTTTTCCTTTAAGGACTTGGCGCAATTAAGGAACTCTTTGGCGCAACAAATGCACGATGGTTAGTTAAACGTGTGTATGAAATAACTAATCCTTTTATTAAAAAAGAAAATAGTTGAATGACCCTTTTCAATAGGACGTTTTCGTTACTATGTTCGTTGATGCACAATGAAAGATGTTTAAGTTTTAAAGAAAGTTTTTTTTTTGGCATGGTTGAAAGTCTGGCATATTTGATCAAATAATTAATTAACAAAAGCACATACTATCCGTAGCTTAATTTAATCACTTAGATATTTACTTTTAAATTGGCTCGGCTACAGAATTAAGATAGGAATAGTCTAGTGTTATCCATAGTCAATGCTGTTATATGGTAGTTGAAAATGTACAAAGACCACTATTGTTAGAAAATAGCAAATTCATTCTGTTAGTTTATCTATTAAAAGAAACTGTTATGAGGGTTTGTGAATATTATAAAAGTCATTATGGACATGTTGTGCAAGAACGATTGCTATTTGGTTACTATGTAATTTTAAAGCTTTAAAAAATACATTATTAATACGGTTGATTTAAAACCAACTACAGGATAAACAATGAACATATTTTGCATGGGTTTTAGTATAGATGAAACATCCTCTTGTGTTGGTTAGTCTATGGTTTTAGCCAGTAATACCACTTGTTGTAGAGTATCTGCAGTACACGTCGTGCTACAAGGGCATCAGCAAGGACTGGTAGAACTGCGCCAACAGATTCAGTACAGATGAGTTGTGTACGGTATTACTGGCTAAAACCATTCTAACTGTGTTAGTTAGAATGGTTTTAGCCAGTAATACCGTTTGTTGTAGAGTATCTGCAGTACACGTCGTGCTACATGGGCATCAGCAAGGACTGGTACAACTGCGCCAACAGATTCGTCAGTCTTGTAAGAGAGGAGTTGGCGAGGAAGAACACCACGTGGAGGCGCATCTGGTGGAGTTGTGTTAGTTAGAATGGTTTTATCCAGTAATACCGTTTGTTGTAGAGTATCTGCAGTACACGTCGTGCTACAAGGGCATAAGCAAGGACTGGGACAACTGCGCCAACAGATTCGTCAGTCTTGTAAGAGAGGAGTTGGCGAGGAAGAACACCACGTGGAGGCGCATCTGGTGGAGTTGTGTTAGTTAGAATGGTTTTATCCAGTAATACGGTTTGTTATAGAGTATCTGCAGTACACGTCGTGCTACAAGGGCATAAGCAAGGACTGGGACAACTGCGCCAACAGATTCGTCAGTCTTGTCAGAGAGGAGGTGGCGAGGAAGAACACCACGTGGAGGCGCATCTGGTGGAGTTGTGTTAGTTAGAATGGTTTTAGCCAGTAATACCGTTTGTTGCAGAGTATCTGCAGTACACGTCGTGCTACAAGGGCATAAGCAAGGTCTGGGACAACTGCGCCAACAGATTCGTCAGTCTTGTCAGAGAGGAGGTGGCGAGGAAGAACACCACGTGGAGGCGCATCTGGTGGAGTTGTGTTAGTTAGAATGGTTTTATCCAGTAATACCGTTTGTTGCAGAGTATCTGCAGTACACGTCGTGCTACAAGGGCATCAGCAAGGACTGGGACAACTGCGCCAACAGATTCGTCAGTCTTGTCAGAGAGGAGGTGGCGAGGAAGAACACTACGATGGAGGCGCGCCTGGTTGAGTTGTGTTGGTTAGCAGCGATTGGTCACATTTGTAATACAATAACTGATAAAATAATAGCTGTGTTTGTCATGGTTATATCAGTAACAGAACTACCATGTACTAAATGACGTGAAAAGTAATGATTTACTAATTTTGATCTTTTAGCCTGCTCTTACTTGAATTGTTATCTTAGTACATTTGAACCGTATTGAATCGAGACCATTTCATGGTTTTTATTAATGTACATAAAAAAATTTAGAGGTGTATCTTTCATTGCAAAAGATATTTCTTAAATACAATGTTTGCTGTAAATAATGGCTTTAAGGTGTGTTTAAAAATTTCCTTGTACAAATTTTTATGGTGTAGTATGTTGACCTATCATCAACTGTAGAGTGAGTATCCTAAATTTATTTTGATCAGCTATAACAAATAATGTGATAGAATGACTCGCACATACAGAAAGCCCTAATTCTTGTTCGTGGGCACGCAGCCTGAATGAAATGCCAACCTTAAATACAGTGTGGTAGAAAAGTCCCGGAACGGTTAAATATTTAAAAAAAATAATGCAGATAGAGATAAAATACTTGGTACAAAGTTACAGGGCATAAAACTCTATTTTAACACATATTCAGTGATCCAATAATTCTTCAGGGGGACGGCCCACAAGGAGTCGGAAGAAAATCTTAAATGGAAACATAGGTCAATATGAACAACTGTCATTTTGCGCAGGATCAACCTTTTGAATTGCGGTTTGCGGCATTGTATTCTACTAAAAAAGACCTTTAATTTGATGTGCATATTGACCTATGCTTCCTTTTAAGATTTTCTTCTGACTCCTTGTGGGACGTCCCCCTGAAGAGTTATTGAATCACTGAATATGTGTTAAAATAGAGTTTTATGCCCTGTAACTTTGTACCAAGTATTTTAGCTCTATCTGCATTATTTTTTAAAATATTTAACCGTTCCGGGACTTTTCTACCACACTGTATTTCAGCAAACCGTTTAGAAGTGTGGGCTCAGTCATAATTTCCTTACTCATCTCCTGTCAATAATTCCTCACTCCAATTTTAATCCAGTGATGCTTGTTGAAGCCGGACGTTTCTTTCATATGATGGAAAATCAGTTGCTTTTCCTTGTGATTTACGAGCTTTCTCAGGGTAGACTTGTGACCAGCTGTTTTCCTGAGATATTTACCTTCTGATTTTCAGCTTGATTCGATCTTTTTTTCCTAATTGAGCACCATACATTGCTAACGAAAGACAAGATATTAGCCCAAAGAAACCAGTGAATGCAAGCTTTTGCATTTGCTTGATAACTTACCACAAAAATGTTTGAGTCACCGACTTGTTCAAAGTAAATCAGTCTGATGACTGTTGCTGTATATTTTGCCAAACTCTATTTCATGTACCAAGGGCATCAGTTTCAATCTTTATAGATGTTATCCAAATTTTCGTTCCAGCAAAATGCATCAAACGATCAGAAATCGTTTATAATCTAAAGCTTGGTGGCTTGTGTTCCTCTGTCCACAAGGAAAACCGGCAGAATAGATCGGCAACCACTTGGACTAACAGGAAGGGTGGGAACACAAATCCCAGCTCCTTGCGTGGATGCTCATCTCCTTTGTACAAGAACTAAAACTGAGTCGCTGTTCACAGTTGTTTACCTGCTGCTGCTGTTAAGAAGCACGATTATCTTTCAGATCGTTCCCAGGTGTGCTCCTATCCTACCACTGTCTCAATGAATTGAAACTCTACGTTTTCAAAGGCTCCTTGAATTTCCTTCAGAACGGTGGTCCGAGTGATTTTCTGTTTACCAAACAATTTACTTAGTGCTTAAGTGGTTGATTTCTTCTCATCAATGCACGGGTACTCTCGTTTATGTGAGACCATGGGAGGACCACATTCGTAATATTGTTGTGTATAATATGTCCTTTGCCTCAGGTATGAAAAAGGAAATGCATATGAACCCGTAGAACTTTAGAAGAGTATAGTTTTTCCATTAAAAATGTATGAGCTGTCGAAGCTGCTGCCAGCAATAATTTGGAAGGACTAAAAGAATTCATCGCCAACAAAATTTGGAGTCGTCTTTCTTTTGTTTTCAAAACTGGGGGATCTGTTCTTACTCTTGGGATCTTCTAGTCGCTGGAAGGTAACCTATTGACTGACTTTCTGTGTTGTATGTTCCAGTGCTAGACACGGGTTCCTCAACTGTGTGTACGTGGCGGCACGCCTCAAGTGTAGAAAGGAAGAAGCTCTGTTTATATACAAGATCGCGGACACATTGTCCAACATGCGTGTGTACTCAAAACATTGTAGCAACGTTGACGTTACTATTTGCAGCTCTTGTACAAAGTTGAATTACTTCAACAGCACTTGGGCTTTGATATGGACACTTATTCTTGCACTGATGTAATTGAAAATGTACATACTATTGTAAATTGTGTAAAAACTTATGATAAGGTAAAATATATTAGTTTAAACTGTCTTTTAATGACCTTTTCTTTGTCCTGGATTATTCTTGCTAACCCAACACTTTTATTGTATTGTAGCCAAATGGTTATGGTGCTTGACTTCAAATCTGAAAGACACTGGTTGGTTTCCAAGCGAGAAAAAATCCCACTTTCATTGCAATACAATGTCACAGGTTTTAGACCCAAATATAATTTTAGGGTACGGTTGTGGGAAATAGATCAAAGCCAAGATGAAAGGGTCTAGAGTCAAACCCAATATTAAATGCGAGGAATGACACAAAGAGACAATCAGCTGGTTGGTAATTGCTCATTTGTGTTCACAAAATGGTTTATATAAATAGTTTTCCATGCATGATTTTTTCATTATCAAATTACTCAAAAATAATCTAAATAAATAGAGTGAATCAGAAAAGTTTGAATATTGTAATAGAACAACGATCACAAATTTTATTTGTAACCAGGAAAGTCTCAGTTAATATTATTTTGAACAGTAAATAATTGTATTTAACATTTCCTTGATGCGAGCTTGTAAAATTCGTTGGTAAATATAATGTGCTATAAGCAAAATATGTAAGTTTTATTCAGTGTGCAATATCTGTATTGAATTATAATGAATTCTAGAAAAAATCAAATTATTTTAAACCCAAAAACAAACTAAGATGAGTTTACAAACAATACTTTAACTAAACTTTATTTTTAGTAGTATGAAACATTTTAATATCATTGTTAACGAAATAGATGGTATTGAAACTACTTTACAATATAAAATCTGTGATTAATCTAGTAATTTATTTTCACATTTTATGCTGGCTTTAAATTTAGATTGATTGTTTGGGTCCCCCTTCATAAGTGATTTTGTGATAAACAGAATTGCCCGGGTGGTTAAAGAAAAAACGCAAAACAATTAGTCGTTTAGCATTGGGAACAAACTCTAAACTCTAAATTGCCACTAAAAGCTTTCAGGAGAGGAAGATGGTTCGAAATAATTATCGTCTGTCCTGTAATGGAATATTCAGGTAGCGTCGTTTCTCTTTATTTGATAACTCAATTGTAATTTACTGGTAAATTTATCTTATGGAAAACTCTACAAATATTTGTCCTACACTAAACATCCATTATAGTTTACAAATAATATAAAACTAAAACATTTTTATATTAATTTTATACCTTATTGTTAAATAAAAAAAAGTTTTGACATTTTTTCTTAGTTTAAAAAATAGACTAAATTTTAACTATAGACTAATATGAAAAAGCTCAACTTTCTACTCATGAAATTTTCCCCAATAACTTAAATTATTTGCATTTAAATTTTCAATTATTATTTTACGGATATATCTCTTGTGTTCTTTTGCATAGCAATCTTTGTATAATAAAAAGTCAATTTGGTCGGTCAATTATTGCACCAACTGACCTGAGTCAGGTAGTCGGGTATTCCTGAATTGCGCCAACTACTCCAGGGAGCCACCCGATACGTTCATTAACTGCACCAAGTGACGGCCCTCTTTGACTGTATAATTGAGTAGGTTAGGTTAGGTTATGTTTGGTTAGGTTGGGTTAGGTTAGGTTAGGATAGGTTAGGATGACATGTAAACAAGGACATTCCTTCTGCCGGCAACTCATCCCTACCTGGCAAGGCTTGGCGCAATTAAGGAACTCTTTGGCGCAATTAATGCACGACCGGCAATTTCACTCTCTTGGTGAAACAAGTTTTTAATGGTTGAAGAGGTTAGTACAGAGGAGAGTAAAACGATTAGCCACTTAACATCGGTTGCGAATTCTAAATGAACACTAAAAGCTTACCACAATGGTGGATAATCATCTATCGTGTAAATGGAATATAAACACAATTTTTTTAAGAACCATAATTAAAACAGTGTTTATAATTAATAAATACTTAAGAAGTTTCTTATAATAGGGCACCAACTTACATTTATTGACAATAATTATTTTTAGGAATTTATCTACATCTTCTTATTGACGAACACCCATAGGATGTCTTTCAGTAAACAATATTTACGTTATGTAGCCTACATGCTCCATTTGGCTATAGGGATATTTATATTCCTCTCGGGTATAATAAAGTAATGCCAAAGAATGTCATGTTTTAGCTTTCTTGTTTTAGGACCCTTCAAATGTTTTGAAACCATTTGAATTTCGGTAACATTTTCATTTGAAATGATTAGTTTTTATGACGTTTTATATGAGGTTTAAAAGTCAAACGAACACCTTCCACAGGTCAATCAAAACACTTTTCGAAATCCTTGCGAGATACAAAACATTGAACAGACTATAAAAACAAAATACCTTATGAATAAATTATTATTTGAAACGTTATTCTAACAAATCAGACACTTGAAAGGTTTAAGCTGTTTACGTTAAAAGATTTTTGTAAAATTGTATGTAAATATGAATCTTCCCCACAACACCATATATTTTTTTTATTTGATTTTTGTTGGAAATGTAATCTATTTTAGTTGGAAGTCTTGTGATATACTTTCCTGAACCCATCACTCTGCATAAAAGGGTTATTCAAAAGAGTCGGAAATTCACTCTACTTTGTGCCCTTTAGCTGAGGACAGTGAATAATGGTTATAAAATGCAGTGCCTCGTCCATCAGGACTGCTGTAATATATCAATTCTGAGTAAAAAAATGTATATATTCAATACTAAACACAACCTTTATTTGATCAAATCTGGATTTTTAATAAATATAAATTCTGATTAATGAAGGATTTATTAAAAAACTTTATTAAATATTTAAAAGGATACAGTTTTTATTTTTGTTATTGTTTTACAAAGCTATACATTGGAAGATACAGGCTGTTAAGCAAAGAGGTTTAGAAGTTTGATTTTTTCTTGGCCCATTTATGCCCCGAAATCTTTTAAATGTTGTACAGTTTATAAATTTGGTTTTGGACATATTTTGTGATGATTTAAGTTTTGTAAAATGTAAAAATAGCTGCATATAATTGCTTCTTCAACGTTACTTACTTACTCTTACTCCTACGGCAATGGATACCCTAGGTGGTATTCGGCAAGTTGCCTCCATCTCTCCCTGTTCTCTAAATATTCTTCCGTTGCTCTCAATTTTCGCAAATATTTCCCAACCCGGTCTTTCCATCGACTCTTGGGTCTTCCTCGGAGTCTTCTATTTCCTGCTGGATTTTGTCTCCAAACTATTTAATTAGTCTCCGATCTTCCCTCTTAAATACATAGCCAGCCCATTTTAGTCTTCTGCTCTTTGCTTCTTCTACTATGTCTAGGGAATGGTGCATGTATCTTATTTCTTCGTTGTGCCTAATTCTCCATGCTTCTTCATCTCTAACAAGTCTTCAACGATACCAAAAACAATATAAACGCAAAATACTTGACCCTCTTTCAACCATAAAAGTAATTCATCAAACTTTGGCCTAAGTAAAACTGCAATTGAAAGAGTCAATGTATCTTTTCATGGCTCAAGCATACAATAGTTATTCAACAATAAGTTTTAAACAAAAGCAACACAGTAAACAAATCTGGTATTGTCTTAGAAATAATTGTTATAGCAAGCAGATTGGTAAATGTTGTTACTATTTTGTTCCTGAACAGTAAATAGTTTAGTAATCTAGGCTACAGTAAAACACCTAAACCATTTCCTGGCTCGTGTAATTTTATTTTAAAGTTTACTAGCTGCTATACAAGGGCTTTGCACGGGAAGAGGACTTGAAAAGAATATTTTTTCCTTTACATCCGTTGTATAAAATAGTTACACACCCGCCAACAGTTTTAGAAACTAAATTATATCACTTCATTTGATATAATTTATTCAAATTATTCCCCTCCTGCCATGCATACCAAACAATATTTTTGAAAACCTCACCTCAAAACTTAGGACATCCATGGGGTGTAGCCTTAAACTCAGGGAAATGAATAGGCCTAAGACATTCCTAGATATGTGGACTATCTATGTGCTTAATTTAGGCTATATCAGTTTTCGTATTTTAGTCGTGCAACAAGACAGACAGACAGAAATCACCTCACTTTTATAGATACATAGATAGATTACTCGACAGAGTTCTTATGTAGTAAACCATAAGAATACAACATATTATTATGAATAGTGTCAATTTAATGTTTTTTTTTTTTTTTTTTTGCTAGAACAAGAGTGTAGAATTTGGGATATACAGTAATCGAACTAAATGGGGGTAGTATTTATCAAACATCCAAATTAAGATCATACCCGTTTAAGTCCCATATAAACCTGATGTCTTAAGGTATGATTAAGCCATGTATATCAATGAATCTTTATACACGTGTTTACATTTGATAAACAAATACACTTCGTTTTGTTTTAGCATTTTCTGTTGCAAGTAATATGGGCTCCAATAATTGTTGCCTCTTCAGAAGTCTAGAGGCTTTACTAAAGTAGAGGCTTAACATAGCAGCTTTCATCATGAAATAAGTAATTTTGTATAATTTATTTAAAAAAGGACGGATCTGTTTTGAAAGGAATTTTACAAATTGTATTTAAATCTGGGGATTTATATGACAAACTGAAATTCTCCTTCATTTTCTTCTTCAATGGTAGTAGTTTTACGATATAGTTTATTAAATAATTTTGGCATCATTGTTTATTTATTTATTTATTTTATTTTCAATGCTACAAAACAGCACATGCCAATTACTTTGTAGCATTAATCAAATAACAGGAATGTTAACATGATATTACAATTAATAATACACACAACTAGGGAAAAAATGTCCGTCTTCAATGGTGACAGTTTCACTAAAAATATAAATAAAGAATATAAAATATAAATAAGAATGACAATATAACATTTAAATATACAGTAACAAGAGAATTTATACTAACTAAAATAATACTGATGGTCATGAATCAAATATAATAAATATGCAATAAATATATAACAAATAAATATGTACTATTTAGAAAAATTATAAATTAACGTTGATAGGAAAGTTTGAATTCATTTATCAAACAGACATT